GCGTAAGAGAAATGATCGTTTACCGTTTATTTTGTGTAATGATTGCAGATAAATATGATTCTAATTATGGAATAATTGACATATTTAAGGTAGGTGTTCCAAGTTCCTAATTTATGGGGATAAAACTAAGTGAGTCTCAACAGTCGTTCATATTATCTAATTCAAGTGTTTTGCATCAGCCGCCGAAAACAGCAGATTCTGGGATGGATAGCGGAGTAGCTAGGAAGGTAACAACGGGGCACATCTGACCCCTGGTGCAGCATCCAGGGGGCGCTAAATTGGTGATTCGAAATTTTAGAATGAAATGTTTTCCATTCTTGGCAACAAGAGGTGACACGAAATCATCATTTGTCCCCGGGCGCTGAAAACCCATGCTACGGCTCTGGTGATGGGTTCCAGAGAAGTGGCAACGAAATGTGAATTGGGTGGTCCACTACCTCTCTCCTGTTTATACCTCTATCTCCTGCAATTTTTACGACTCCACTTTCCAAACCTTCTTTCTTTTATAAGTTAACCACCTGGACATACTCTATTACCACTTTTGTGCTTAGCATTGCGCCCATTTTCACGATTCTAGGAGGTGAAAATGCCCTATTCATACATGCTGTAACTTTATAAAATTTGGCATTTATTGTATCACATTTATGTATTGTATTAGGTTCGTTCAAAAAAAATTTCGCACATTTATTATGGTAATCGTTATCTCGATTTACAACATAATTCATAGCATTTATTTAGAATTTCATAGGAAAGTTCTACTTCCGGAAAGTGGTGGAAAATCGTTTTTCCAATTTTGAAAGAAACTATGACAAAACGATTTTGAATAAATTCAAAACAATTTTGAAAATAATCTATGCACATTTTGCCCTGGGAATGACAATACAATACCAACAATCAATAAAAATTACAAAATAGTATTAAAATAAATTATTTCCTTCGAAACACATTTAGTTTTCAAAGCTGAAACATGACAAATGAACTAAAAACGGCCAGCCTCTTAAAGTAGGAATGTAACCTAGGAAGCTGTAACGAGAGAAAAATCTGAAGAATAGGAAATAATGTATTAAAAGGAAATTTTGATTATAAATAAATTGGTTAGCGTAAATTTAGGAATAAACTGCATATATATATATATATATTGCAGTATAATAATATATATATATATATATTGCATGTTTAAAGTGACATTTAAGAAAAAAGCCCCGATATTCTTTTGCGAGTCCTTTTATAGCCTCTGGAAAGGCGGAGCTTCCAAGAAATGACGTCAGCCTCGTCAGCCAATCCAGTTCGCTTTAAATATTTCCAGAACAATCTATAACTGTACGTGTAGAAAAGGCGGGAAAAACAACTTAACTACGGGGCTGTGGATTTAATTCCACGTACTTTCAAATAAGAGAACGTTGCCATTAAAAAATGAAAAGAACATACAGTTAGAATTTTAAGTGTAATCTTGACTGTGGAATTTTATAATTACAAAAATATATATATATATATATATATATATATCGTCTAAGAATTTTAATATTCAATACTGAACTCAATCGTAGGCAAAATTAAGCGAATTCGCAAATTATGTCTGTTTTTGCAAAACGTATTAAAATAAAGGTAGAAATTATGCCGCCGGAGAATTATGCAAATATTTAAAGTCTAATAAGTAAGCGTATATGGACATGTCTGAGAAGCTGTGGCTGTCGAGGAGGTATAAACCCACGAGGGGCGATTTGTGCACTAGTAATCTTTCACGACATTCTCCGTGTTCCTCGCAAGAATTGGGTAAATTTTATAAGGTTGTAGAGCTGTTATTTCGAAGCAAGAGAGATGAAAAAAGGGCAATCCCCTCGCAGGGACTCGAACCGCTGACCTCTCGAATAATCGCCGAGCGTGCTGACCACTACACCACGAAGGCATATTAAGAGGGTGGGAGACATACCTTATATTCTCCCCCCTTTTAAAGGACGACTGGGAATTAAGGGAATCAATCGCCAAATCCTGGTGGTAGATAATTATTATCCACAACCTTTTTTAGTTCGGGCGCCACTGTAGAGCTATTAGGTTATTTTGAAGCAAGAGAGATGAAAAAGGAACAGTGCCCTCGACAGGACGCGAACCACGGACCTCTCGATTACGCGCCGAACGTGCTGACCACTACACCACGAAGGCATGCTAAGAAGGCGGAAGAAATACCTTATAAGGTATCGGGTAAAATGAATAGCCACTAACGTATGGATGACGGAATGAGATAAAGAGTTAGTAGCAGATTGGAGGCAGGCCTATCACAAGTGTAGGAGACTACGAAACTCAATGTAACGCCCAGTGACGTCAGAAATTTGTGAAAACAGTTTCAGGACACCGGATCCATACCGAGAAGACCTGGACAAGGTAGACCAAGATCCACAATGGCGAATGAGGGCCATTATTAGAGACTTTCATCGTGGTGACACATGATAGTTACAGCTTCCCATCTCTCCCGTGAGCTGCATGCTGCCACTTGAACCCGGGTTTCACAGTCTATAGTCGCCTAGAGGCTTCATGACTTAGAGCTATGTGCGAGAAGGTCCGATGTTTGCTCATCATGGAAAATGTTGATTTCGGTGGTGGAGGTGTAATGGTTTGGGTAGGCCTTATGCTGGACGAACGTACACCCTTGCATGTGTTTGTTAAAGGCTTCTTAATTCTATGAGGTATAGAGAATAGATCTTAGAGCCCTATATTCGACTTTTCAGTGGCACAGTTGACCCTCAGTCTCCTATTAATGGACGACAATGCTTGTCCTCATAGCGCTCAGTTGGTCGACGATTACCTGGAAAGTAAGGATATTCGCCACATGGATTGGCCATCCAGATCTCCTGTCCTTAACCCTATACAGCACGCTTGGGACTGGGACGTTCTTTACCGGGCAACTTCATCTCGCCATCCCCTTCCGTGAACCGTCCCGGAGATGAAAATTGCCTTGCCACAGGAGTGGGTCGACAGCCACAGGGCCTCCTCAACTGCCTCTTATCCAGTTACCGTCAGGCTGCGCGACTTATTTGACTGCCAGAGGAGACCATAGCCTATATTAGATTTATTTTCAGTTTGATGTCACAACGTGGATTCCTTGCGCTATGAGCTTTACTAATAATAAATGTGTACTTAAAATTACTGTTGAATAGTGTCTCTCTTTCTCTGTTACAAGTATACATTCACGCCAAATTTCAATAAAATCTGTCCATTATATTTTCAAAAATTCGATTTCATGTGAAAATTTTCTTGAGTTTGCATACTAAGGAGCGGGGTCACACATCAAAGTAAAGCAGAATTCGCAATAAGGCCTCATGCCTTTAAAAATGATGATCAGAAACATTAGTTTGTAAAAACGTTTATCGTTTCTGCGAAGGTCTTCGAAGTCTATCCATCTTTGCCCCACCAACGGCCGAGTGGTTAAGACAACTCAGTATTGAAAGTTTGAATTCTATCTCAGGCGTGAGCCGACCGACTGCATGTTTATATATAGTGTGTGTGTGTTGTTCCATATGTTAGGTAAACGCAAGCCTGTTTCACTTAGAAAGTCCTTTACAAAGGCATCCTTCCCATTGGGCAGATAGCCGTGGTATCCTTTGCCATATTCAAATAACCTAACGGCTAACTTGACATAACTATCCTGTTTTTATTTAAATCATTATTTGACTAAGAACTTCGGAAGCTACTGACTTTCAGATTTCTTTCTTCATATTGTACGCTAAAATATCATCACATCATTAAACAAGCTTGATGCTAACAGAAGTGCCGATGATTTTCAGTTTCTTTCTTGTGATTATGGGGGGGAGGCTTCAAATCGGTAGTTATTGAATTCCGAACCTGCACTGAATGACCAATTTTTTTTTTTTTTTTTTTTTTTTTTTTTTTTTTTACATTGATGCCAAGAATATTGTCCTTCATGAATGAGATTCATTCTTCGGAAAGCGTGTAATATTTGGCACACTTTTTATCCTCTCGTCTGTATTGCTGCTTGAATTGTATTACTACCTGCCTTAGTTCAAAAATAGCTGTAAGAAATGCATTCTCATAAACTTAAAGATTTTAATTGAAAAGTAAATCTTTGAGTTTCTCCTGGAAGCTACATTTTTGCCTCATAAAAGTTAAGCAGTAGTAAAACCTCTAAAACCGGAAAATTAGTGGAATACAGATATATCTTCTTCATGTACTATTTTAGTATCATAAAACTAAGGCAAAGTTTCCTAATTGTAAATAACTAAGATGTCTAGTGTCCTTTTTTCATTATGTTTTGTATATGATATTTAACAAAGCAGCGGATTTAAATAATAATACTAATTTAAGGGAATTCCTTAAAATACTTTTAAAAATCACATTTAAAATTTTTATAATTTCAGGTTCATGAAACTTGTATCAAACCCATTTTTCCATAACTTACTTCAGAGAAGAAGAATAGCTTCAGATTGCTCTTGAAATATGTTACGCTCTTCTCTTTCAAATCAACATCAAACTAAAAGATAGAATTTTATCTGTTTTTAAAGACTTGAGTTAACCACCTCCTTGTGCTTTACATTAGTTACACTTAAATTGTTGTCAATTAATGTTTTTGGATTGTGAATAATTAGCATACTCATGGTTTTTAAATTATAAATGCGCATAAACTAATGAAAATTATAAATCATTATCTGGATTGAATATCCTTTTTCGTTATTAAAGATGGCTCAGTTTCTTAGAACCACCTTTACAGAAACTGAATTTCTGATTGAATATCAGCTTTATCGCTTCATTGTGTATGAATACATTAGTTGCGCGCATTCCGCAAATTCGAGATTTTACAAAACTTTAACAATTTTAAGGGATTTTAGGTTTTTCATTAAATTATCTTTAATGTGAAATAATAAATTTCGCCCGATATATATTTATTGCATATATAAAGTTAATTTTTCTTCATTAACAAATTGCTTACTCTGTTAAATGAACAGCAGTAGGTGACTCAAGTGACTGTAACATTTGTTCTGTTTTTGCAGCTCTCAAGCTTTCGTCGAGTGAATGTAGCCAAAATGAATATAATGTTCTTTTCGATAAAATTGTTGGCGGAAGAAGTGCAGCAGATGGAGAATTTCCTTTTCAAGTACGTTTCTCAAAAAATATTTTTTTTCCTAGTTTGTAACGATCATCTAATTTTTCTTACATTTATTAAATTCAACCAAATTACTCACTGAAATATAATGAATTATATTTAGGAATTTGCTGCATGTGCATATCAGTTGAAGCTACAATGATATGTTAATTAGACGGTCCACTAGTATCAACTAAGGTTAGATGAAATTTCTTGAAGTGGAATTTCAATACAATAGATTTTTTTTAGTTCGGTCGGAAATTTGTAATTATTTGTTTTATTGTGTAATAACTAATTTAGCCTTAGCTTAAAAATCTGATCCAACTGAATTTCATAATCATCACATTAAAAATACTAGCTTGAATCATGCCACTATTGAAATATTCTCAATTTAAACCTCAAAAACCTTCAGGGATTTTACAAAACTTCTGAAAATGTATCATTTATTTTCCTCATTCATAAGTATAGCACATACAGAAAGAATGGTAAAAGAAGTAACTGAACAGCATCCTGTATTCACATTAACTGCATTTTAAATAGTTGCAATTTTATAATACATTAAAAAATTCATGAGGGCACTAGATGATATGAAGTGACCTAAAGAAATATTTAAAGTGTACCCCCAGACGGTATAAAAACATAACAGCTAAAAATAAAATTTATAAATTTATTTTTTATTAATATAAAATATGTATTATGAATATGATATACCTTTCTGAATTTTAATATTTGCGTACTGAAAGATGAATGCCATATCATGAAAATACATCGAAATTTCCAATAATCAAGCCTTTCAAACAGAGCTCACAGATGTCTATCTCTACTCAAAGATTAGATTAGGCTTTGTCATCAAATAAAATAGAAGCAAGTTTGCTCATTTATCTAGGCCAGATGTCTCAAACTGGCTGCTGTCGAAGCAATTTTAAGCGGCCTGCGAAGACATTTAAATATGTATTTTACGTTTTAAAAATTTTAGTAACCTGAAATTCGAGTTTATATTATTTTCATTTCCATTAAAGAAAGCACAAATAACATGCCAGAAAATATATAAAATGGAGCTAATAAATTTATAATGTGACATAAATCTCATCCAAAGATTTAATAACTTTTTTTCTAAGTTGTTGAAAGCTCACTTGGAAACTTTTGCTCTCAAATAATCGCTTTGTTTAGGAATACATTTAAATGTGAACAACTTTTTTCACATTTGAAAATTAATTTTAAAAAAAGACCCGATTGATCGATAAGCATCTACAATCTGTGGTGAAGATAATTTGTAGTAATTTTTCTCCAAGGCGACAAGTTTTATCAGAATTGAATTTCCATGAAGCAATTGTCTGACTTCAGCATGTTAGTATTAAAGTGATGAAAATAAGAATTTCATTTTACGTATTCGTAAAAAATAAACGTGTTTAACAATTTATTCCATATTAATTCCCCGTCTTTGTAATTACTTGCCACCCATGCCTTTTATTATGCTTCTAAGTATTAATTCTGAGTAAATCTAAAATTAATTCCTTTATTTTTTGCACTCTTTCTATAGCTTTAAAGCATTCCAAACCTGCAAAAAATAAAAATAATTTTTCTTAGTTATTTAAGCTACATATCTTAACTTTGCTAATTAAAAATATATTTGTATATTACGCGACGAATTACATGAATCTTAACTTTATTTCATCTTAAATTCAATTCATATTTATTATACACTTTTTTCCTGCAAATTACGTTTTGCTATAGCTTAAAAAGTAGTAAAGTTAATGAAGTTTTAAAGAAGAGCACTGCTGTCCAAATTTAAAACGCGCAATTTTATATTAAAAAAAGAGAGTTAAACGATATTTTAGAGATTTATACAGACTAGAAGGCTAATGAAATTTGTGCAAGTAACTTCAGCTTGGCCTTTGCATATATGCAAATTTTCATCATCTAATTATAGAGGATGTTTATATATTTTGAGAATGATTTCGATAAAGAATTTTGAAAATTCAAATGTTTTGGAATAAAATATTTTTCCAACAGCTTATTATTTGAAATCAGAAATAGCGTTTGCTACATCTAAATTTATTCTTCTTTCAAAACGTCGCATGTAAACAAGTTTAAAGCTATAGATTGAAGGATTTGCTTTTGCCCTTTCTGAACAGAAATATTCTTATTACATAGTTTAAAAACGTTGCGAAATGCATGGTATTAAAATTTTTAAGTACAAAATAAGCTACACCTATTAATCGGAAAGGGAAAAACTGTCATTTATTACTTCTACATGGAAAGACTCTAAGCGAATACCCTAAAAAGATACATATTGTTTCTAACGTTTCTAAAGTTAAAACGTTGTTAACGAGAGAAAATCTGCCGACGCAGAAATCAACTACAAAGTCTTTAACTATATCAGTAGCAATAATGAAAATATAATAAATTAAGATTTACAACTTAAAAAAGCCAAAAAACATAATGTTCATCAACTTTTGCCAAGGCATGTAGCTCAGTGTTAAAATAGACTCATCGCATTATCAAGACAAAATTTTAGGGAAGAAATTCCATTTCTTTATCCCATTGATTTTTAAAGAGTGAAACTTTCAAGTCAAAGAATTTAAATCAAGGCAAATCAAAAGGTCTACTTCGAAAACCTCCACTGTATTCCTTAAAAAAAAAAATAAAGACTGAAACAGATATTGCATATATACCTCTTCAATATACAACTATATTACTGTGAAACCCCTCAACGTTCCATCTATGGACTATTGTACCTCTTTCTTTTGAAAAACGTAATTTTTTTTCATCCTTTCTAAGCGCAAACCAATCACCATTGATGTATTCTGAAAAGTTATAACGATTAGCATATTTTGCAATTATTCAATAACGACCAAACTCTCGGTAGACATTAAGCAAATCATCACTAAACAGCAACCGAAACTTGAGAAGAGTGTAAAAAACCCTTTATTTAAAACTAAATAAACACAGAAAGCACAACTGATGCTTACAATACGGCAGTCACTTATGACGAGATTAAGTAACTGTAACTCAAATGTAAAATTTAATTTAAAGAAAGGCTTCACCGATCAGTTAACTCGAAGCTGGCTCAAAACTTACCGGGCGTGAAGATTCAGTACAGACGATATGATGCAAAGTGTACAAATCTTATCTACTCTAGCAACCTAGTAACGTGGCTTCGAGAGGCAGAATATGCTCTGTCTGACAATCTAAAAACCTCACCTTAAATACACGCGAATTAATTTGCATTCTGGCGGGAAAAGAGAAAGGAGAAGTTACAGTAAAGATTCAAAATATTAAGTACCTGATTAATTAACAGAAAGGAACCTTACAAAGTGGTGGAAAAGGAATGGAAATCAATACCCTGGAAATTTTATGAAAAACTATTTTATCAAGGAAATCACGGTGCAGACTTGTAATCCAGAAAGAACTATCAAATCAAACGTTTAAAAAAATAATCTTTACATTTTAAACATTAATTAAAAGACCCCAAAATCGTTCTAAAAATGCCTAAACACTCTCTATTATGTCTCACATATTTTTACCCAGTGGGGTTATATCTCAGATATCACAATTTCTTGGTTTAATTGTGCTGAAAATTGACTGAAAGCCTTTTTTAGTAGTTCCAAAGTTTCAGTTGAAGAACTCTTTGCATTGAAGAATTATTTCCCGTTTAGAGGAAGCACTATTGAACGCGGATCCTAAAGTAAGTAAAACTATTTCGTAAAGTTATAGGTGAAAAGGTGAGTAATACAGGACGTTTTATCACCTATGGTTCACTATTCCATTAATTTTGAAGTCCTCTTCCACTTTCTCGGGCTACAATTTTCGTGATTGCATAAATTCCCAATTTCTGTATTATGTGAGTAAAGCAGGTAAAAAAAAAAGCCATGTAAACTGCAACAGCCGATTTTTTTAGTTAATCAAATTTACATTTTTTAAATTTTGGTATCTACTTCTCTTGTTTTACCCTATGTTACAATTATTTTCTTTTATTATATTTCAAATGCATGTTTCTTCAGGCATCGCTGCAAAAGTTTTCGGCATTAGGATATTACCACACATGTGGAGCCGTTCTCGTCTCTCCAGATTGGCTGTTAACAGCAGCTCATTGCATACATGGGTAAGTAGATCATTTAGCAAAAATAAGTTATGAAACATATTTGCAGCAAAAACAAATTACATTCATCATATAAAATGATGAATGTGGTTTATGGCAGATACAGCTCTGTTAAAGAAGTAAATTAAAGCCTTAAGGTAAATAAGTCCTTTATTAAAGATTTATATTCTTAATAAAGCAAAACCTTTGTTTCTCCTCCCTATTATTGCACACTGCACATTTTATCTTCTGTATGCCGACATTTCAACGCATTAAATGCGGAATGAAAATTAACTTGATTCTGCGCATTAATTTAAAAAGAAATTTGATAATGTATATAAATTGTCATTAAACTAAAGCAGTCTTACTACCATACATAGGCTATCAGAGTAATTTCCCTTTAAATGTGTGGAAAAGCCACTTAGGCAGCCACAGTAGTGATAAAATTATTAATAATCCACGGTTTTACGCTTTCAATGATTTTTCAGATTTCCCTTATCTCTTTACGAATGCTGTTAGGTTATTTGAATATAGCAAAGCCACTTGCGCTGCCTGCCTGATAGGAAGGATGCCTTAGTGGAGAACTCTTTTAAGGTTAACTGGCTCGCCTTCATGTTACACATGAGGGACACCAAAGAAACCAAGCATACAGTCAACCTGTTCGGCCTAGGATAAACAGCCCAACCAGTGGTCGAGTGGTTAAGGCAGTTGAATACTGACAAATGATCAACATATTGATCCAGGCAAATGCTCTGGCTGCATGATTGGTGCCTGGAGTGTCCTTCATATGTAATGTGAATACGAGCCAGTTTTTTTTAGAAAATCCTCCACGAAGGCATCCCTCCCCTTAAGCAGATGCACTCGTACGCTTTGCCATATTCAAAAACACCTAACATAACCCATTTATGGAAAAAGGGAATAATTGTAACCTTTATCTATGTTTGATGATGTGTATTTCGTGAGGGTTGGGCTTATTTATAAATTTATCGGGGGGGGATGATATTATGTATTCCCTAAATATTGGATGCTAAAGCTTACTGGGACATAATTGGAATAGCTAAAATGTGTGATATTATTTTATCATTGCTATTGCAATAGATAAAATGTATATTGCTATTGCAAAGATGTCAACAAATGACCATGGCATCTACAAAACGTTGAATGTGACAGTAAAGTGGTGAGTGAGTAGAAATTGCCCCAAATATCTTCTATCTCTTCGCTTATTTATACTGAAATATGCCTTTCGTAAAAACGATGAAATTTCGTTTTCTATGAATTAACTCTAAGAATCCATCAACGAAAAAAAGAGCAACAACATTTATCTATGCCTGTAATGCCAATTTTTTTTTTTATTGCTCTTTTTTTAAGACTCTTCCCCACCCAAAAAAAAAAAAAAAAAAAGAATGTTTTCTCTTGACTTAACAAGTGAAAATCTTGTTAGTCTTGTCAATACGTAGCATATAATCAAAAGAATATAATGGAGAAAACGAAATGTCTATTCAATTATTCAATCACAATTAAGCTGATAAAAAATGTTATAAAGCTGTTATAATTAAATAAAAAATGGTTGCTTTATTTCACCTATTTTTAATTATTTATGGTTTCCCAGGACTATTTAAAGACGACGACATACATTCGCATACAATTTAGCAGATGTTTACTGAAAAACTAAATTATCCATCATTTCCTGTGATCAATCCATTCGTTTGAATTAAATACGATTGCTTACCATGTTCCACTCTGACAAGCATATTTGATAATACCATGTACCTCTTATGTTTCTACAACAGATCATGGAAAAAATACTTCAAGAGAGGTATCATGCGAAATCGTAACATGCCAGCATATCTTTCTAGATATATCGCTCAGAAGGTCAACAGACAAGACTAGCGCTAAATCCTTTTTATAACATAAAAAATCTGGTAGCAGAGCTTGATGCTTGCTCAGTTAACCAGCTAATTAGCTCAGTGGTGCAACTTTACTTTATTGCAACCACCGCTGCAGAGCAAATATTTTTCTCTCTGTCTGTTGACTACTCTTGTGGAGTGGTTTTCTATGTATTCTGAGCAGTCTTGTTCCACCATGATGATCTAAAGAACTCTTATTCTTAGTTTTTGAAAGTCAATTTTTCGTCTATAATTTGCGTTACCTTCTTAACTTTTAAGCAGCAACTTTACCCGCTTTGATGGAAAATGCTGTAAAATATTTGCGCTTTCCCTTCCCCCCCCCCAAAAAAAAAGAAAAGAAACGAGAAAAACTGAATTGCATTAAAAAATCAGAATGAGAATCTTTAAGCTGTTTGACAAGTGAGTCTGTTTTAAAGAAGTAAGTCAAAAACATATGTTGCAGATTGCTGTTTTTTCTGCGTAGGATTTTATCTTTTACATAACATAAGCCAAAAAAAAAAAAAAAAAAAAAAAAAAAAAAAAAAAGAAAGAAAGAAACTGAATGAATGAAATTCTTGATCGTCCATATCTATGCAATTGCTTCACTTCTGAGATATTTAGTTTTTAAATTACTGTAACTATGTTATATGTAATTAGCAGTAAAGTATTTAATAGTTTATAACCATTACAGGCTTGTTCATCAAACGACAGAAAGAAAGTAGAAGAAGAATATTCAGGACATTTTAAACATATCTTACTTTCTTATTTTAAGTTCTTTGTTATTACGCGACATATATCAACAGTGAGCAACTGGCATTATACAAGAAATTAATGCATGTGTAAAAAGATACTTAAAGAGTATTCAAAGCCGTTTACATTCTGATCATAACAGGAAATAATGTTTGATTCTAGGAACAATGTGTTATGATAAACTTACATTATAATTTCTAGTGAAATTCAGGTACGTTTTTAAACTTAGGTAGAACGAATTTTTAAATGTTGTTGCTTTATCACTTGATATTTAATTGCTAAACACCTTGCATTTTTTTTAGCAACTCTGCCAACCTGTACAGAATAATACTGGGTAGCAATTATTTACAAAATCCTCCTCCAGCTGAAAATATCTATTCTGTAAGTAAAAATTAATTAACTAACAGTCTTTTAATTTTTTTAAAAGCTTTTGCTTTGACAGCAGATAAATCACTCTTTAAAAAATAACAAATAAGAAAGGACTTTTTTTACGCATGATTTAAATTTTTGCGGATTTTTGCGTTATCAATGATAATTCATTTGCTTTGTGTATTGAAATACAACGTGTATGATTCAACGTACTTTCCTGCCCTTAATATTTCTCTAGTTTCTGTAATGCTGTGTTAGTTCTAAATATCTCTATATCTTATTCTACATATAAGCTCATATTGCTAGCATTTTTTTTCGGCGGAACAAAAATATCTCACACTTATTATCTTATCTCTGTTTACAAAAGGAGCGCAATGGCACATTAATGTAAAGATAGAAAAGTTAATAGATTGAATATAATTTAATGCCATAGTTTATTCCAAATATCTGCGTGTGTATCGCAAATATAAATTTTAAAACAGTTTCTTCTAAGATTATATCATAAGGGTTTCACATTTTATAATTTTTAGCTCTAAATGTAAAGTATATTTATTTTCCAAATAGCTTTTATTAAAATTCGATGTATAATTATACAATTTCATTCTGCCGCCCTGTTGGCATGGTGGTAAGAAAGCCCATTGCCATAGCCTTTGACCTGGATTCAAATCATGGAGAACGCACGGATATTTGTAAGGGTATACAGTGTCTTTGTGGCATAAGGGCGCTTAAAATACTGTCAAGCCGTGAATCCTTTCGAGAAGTTATTGATAGGGTAAGAGAAATGGGAGAGTCTCAGATCCGTCCCTCGATATTAAGACAAAACTTCCCTTTTCTTGCAAGTATAATTCGATTGCCCCCTGCGCTGCACCCTGAGCGACATTCTCTGTAATGAGATTGCCAAACAACAAACGGGGGCTGTTATTCCCGATGAATGTTTACTTATCAAAGTATCCGATAAAGTTGGAAAAAAAGCATAATTTCAGTGCATGATTTTGTGCTCTAATCAAAGTTTCGTCACGCGTGTAAAATACATATAACATCCAAGCCCCTTTCTCTCCTGCATCTGCTGATACAATAACTGCGTTTTCGAGGACTTGCTGTTTATTGCAATCCAAAATTTTCAAAATAAACTAAAAAAATAAGAAGTTAATAAGCTATGAGCTTAACTAAGCAGAAAAGGTTCTGACTAGTGAATTACAAACGTATTTTAAGTTTCTTTCTACAAGCATTTTCGATGATGTCCCGAAATATGCATGTACGATTCTGGTCGGTGTTTCCTTGCTTACACAGCAGTTTGATGAAAGCCCATTTTTATCGCATGACATTTATTGTGCTATCATCCTCTGAAAAGTATGTGACATTATACAGTATAAATGCAATACCTTTTGCATTTCGATACTATCTTTTGAGGATTAAGTTTAAACGCTAGAATAATGGGTTATAAATTGTCGCCCAGACGGTATACCGGTTAGGGGAGCCTACTATGGAACCGAAGGGCCCGAGTTCGAATCCCAGAGAAGACATGGATGTTCGAAAGTATGTCGCCATGCCGCACCAGCATGGCGGTGCTCAAAATATGCGGCAAGCCGAGAGTCCTCTCGTATGTGTGTATTGGTGAGAATGGAGAGGGAAGATCCCTTGGTTTCCCCCCCAGCGTGATCTCCCTCAAAAATTGGGGGTGGAAAAACATAATTCCAACCTCTCTTCAGAATAGGCTCTGACAACTATTGTTCCATGTAATATGGACAAGACAACAATAATATGGGCTATAAATTAAATCTTAGGATTTTTTGTTTATTCCATAAATGTCGCCTTACACATAATATTGGGTATATCATGTACCCTTTAATCACTGACAGAGAGAGACTATTGCAATTCTTAGATTTTAAATTCTTTAAAATCAGAAAAAACTTGTAGAAATTAGGAAAATTCCTCTACAGAAGGTACATAAAATGTCAAGCAAAACTACTCACATAATTTCACTTTGGTATAAAAATCTTTGCATAACGATGTATTTTCTTATGAATTTGCTATGAGCACTGCGATATTATAATTTGAAAGATAAATTTAGAAATCTTATGTTCCCTTGTATAAGTGAAAGGTTGCAGAATCGGCAGTTTCCCACAGTTAATGCAGTAAGGCCAAAACAAGTGGACGATAACCTCCTGAAAAAAGTTAAACATAACATGACGTAAAAAATAAAAGATTAAGCGGCAGATTTTTAAAATCAAAATTTCTTCTGAGTGCAGTGGGTGTAACACATCGTTTAAACAAGTTATCAGGAATTTTAAGACACTGAAAAGCGCGGAGAAGTTAAACACGACATTCAGTTTTTTACCAACAATTCATCATTTTCATGAAGACGTTCATTAGAAAGTGTATCTTTATATAAAAACTGTTATACTTGTCGCAAAGTAAGTGTTATGTGATTAATTAAGTAAATCTTATGTGTTACATAAAATTAGTCACGCAACTTTAGGATGTGACTAATTTTATATGATATTTTTAGGCATTCATTTGAAATTTACGTTTTCGGCTTTTTCAGGTGAAAATGATTGTAATAAAACAAGGCTTCGATCCGGAAAACTACAATAATGATATTGCTTTAATACAGATAACTCCATCAGCACGACAGTTTGTTGATTGTGTTTGCTTATCAGACTCGCCTCCAGACAATAACATCACGGGAATAATTGTCGGTTGGGGAGCTACAAATGATGGTACGTATTCAGTTCCTTTCCAAGCTTCTTTTTTTAACTTTTTTGTTGCTTATTAGACGTAAATCTATTACACTTGATGATTCATAAAGTTTTTCACAAAAACGAATGTGTTTCTTGCATATCAGAGATAAAATGTCTTTGATATACTCCACGATATCAACAATGTAGAAACCATGTGATAAACTGATTGCAAATCTGATAGCATTTTCAGCTTTATTGAGCTGATTGTTCTAACTGTATTAAGTAATGTGAATGTTATTATAACACTGTGATAGGCCTAATTATTCGCTGCATTTTTGGGAATGAAAATTACATTTAAATACTGCCTCTAGCCATATCTATGGAAAAATATATAACTCTGTCTATTGCGAAATATAGACTACAAATCAAAATATCTCATTTTTAAACTTACAGTATAAAATACCTCGCGATAAGCAACTTAATGAGAAAATTCGGAAAGAAAAAAATGTAAAAAAATTAAGGTCCCCGTCCCCTAGTGGCGAGATGCTTGCATGAAAGTATTCTGAAAAAGTAGACAACTCAATTAGATGTAACAAATAATACTCTGATGTTCTTTGCGAGTATGAAATTTGACTTAGGGTACAGTGAGTTTCAGTTTAAAGTATTCTCTTAATCCAATAAAATCCGAATAAGATACTAATATTGAATACCCGTCGTTTTATTAAAATGCTTTCAAAAGCTTGACCCCGTCAACCTATTTACATAGGTAAGGGAGGTAATGTTTTCAATCCAAAAATTCGATAGTGAGTTTTCAGTGAATAAGCGCGAATTAAGATTCCATCACTCATTATAACTATTTTTATGATGATGTCTGTCTATGTGTCTATATCTGTGGGATGATTTTTTCATCCACGAAAACTCTTACATTAAACTTCCAAAAAGTTCATTTTTCCGTATGTAATCTTTTTGCATTCATATAAAGAGGTGATTAGTTTTTTTGGGTGGAGTGTGTTATTGAAGCCTTACAGGTCCTTGACGGCTGCACTAAAGGAAAAAAAAAGCACTAACTATTTTTACCCCTCTCCAACATATATACTACATACTTGTATGTAGAGGAACCTGTATACATATGTAGGGGGGTAGTGCTTTCGGTCCAAAAACTGGATAGTGAGTTTTCAGTGAAGAAGCACAGATTAGGGTTCCCATAATACGTTTTTATTACTTTTACAATGTCTGTTAGCCTGTTTGTATATATATGTGTGGGACGATTTAAATGAAACCTCCAAAATTTTCTTTTTCTCCGTATTTTTCTATATCCATTTGAAGAGTTAACTAGATTTCGGATAAAACTGAACAACCGGAATTGGTACTCTACAGGAAGCCCATAACAATCTGTAATGGAAAACCGGGCGTGATACCTTAATTGAAGCCTATAATATTTTCTAGCGGAAAACTAAAGTATTGTACAATATTTATGAGTTTTAATGTTTAAGGCTTTTATATCAATGGGAGCAACCTGCTAGATTTGGGCTAAAATTCATAAACCAGAAGTGATACTTTACTTGAAGCTTTGAAGAGACTCTCGTAAAAAATGATATTATAAGATAATCCAAAGCTTATCAAATTTGGTGTTCAAAATAGATATGTAACTGAGAACAACGTATTACATTTATAAGCATTAAATGTATTCTTAAAATCGCAGGAAGTGAAACGTTAATAAGCTCATTATTAAAAACGAGCTCTCGTAATGAAGTACAGTAAGACCCCGCTTAACGCGGTGGATACGTTCCATCAAAGTAGAGCGTAATGCGAAACAGCGCTAAACGAGGCTATCTTTACATGTAAATATTGGGGTTAGGGAAAGATGGCTAGGAAATTGGTTAGGTGTTAAATTTAAAAAGTATGTTTTTTTAATAAAAATAAACCAAACATTATTTCTTAAAGCCCAAATTAATACCACATTATTATTTCTTGCAAAAAATTAAAACAATATAAATAACAAAACGAATATTCTTAAAAAAAAAACAAATAAAATTCTCAGTCATATTTAGTTAGCCCTTCCGCGTTTTCAGTGTCTGCCTTTTTTGACAAAAGCATCTAATGTTGTTTGCCTTTCTTTTGCGTTGTTCTCTTAAAGTTCTTCATAAACGGATAGAGCATCTCTAACACCACGCCTTACTTTTGAGCTCCTGTCAAAATTCGGATCATTTTCAATGAATTGATCCATTATTTCAGTTATGGTAGAAAAAACTCCTTTTTTACAAACGCCATCGAAAGTTCTTTTTGCTCTTCTTCTGAATCACTGCTGTCAACATTTTTGTTTTTCTTCTTGTTCAGTTAATTCCTTGAGCTCATCATTAGAAAGACCAGCCGCTGCTTCTTGAATTATTTCTTCGACATCTTCCACATTTACCCCTTCAAAAATATGTCTGTACAATACCGCACCAAACAGAAATACAAGTACACTCTTTCGGATATGTATTTGAAACCTATCGCTGCATAATATTTCGGGGAATCCCCGTATGCTGCGAGCGATTTCGTGGAATCCCCGGGTTGAAATAAAAGAGCGCTAAACCGAAACAGCGCTAAACGAAACAGCGTTAAGCGGGGTCTTACTGTACTTAAATATATAGTTTATTCGTGACTGCTGCGTCTATGAGCACAAACACGCATGCGCCATTCGGGCCAAGTTGTTGACAAAATAGGATGGATGGACATGAATCATGTAGTTGGGATTTTTTCCGTTCTTTTTTCCATGTTTACTTTTACTGAGTTCAAAGATCACAACTTAAGGAGGCAAATACTTACTTTTTAAGTAATTTAAGATAATATGCTAATCAATGTTTGTAATTAACTGTTTGACTGAAATCATCGCCAGTTGACTCATGGTACATCGCTGGGGTCCTCCATACTTTTACCTGAACCTGTATCTGGGTTTAATTAATGCATTTATTTATTTATATATATATAGTGGAAAATCTAAGTGTTTTCGAAGCTGAATTTTGTTATATATACATAATTTTATGAAAAAGAAAAAAAAAAAAAAAAAAAAAAAAAAAAAAAAAAAAAAAAAAAAAAAAAAAAAAAAATAAATAGCTATCATTGGTAATAATGGTTATTACTTCTTAATTAAATATACTGATAATTTTCATTATACATTATCATTACCTTGAATTTAATAAAATAATTATATATATATATCTAATTGACTTTTATAAAAATGATTATTCTAAAATCTTATGTTTCTGTAAAATATACTGTGCTTTAAAATATGGATGATAGTATGAGCCGCTTTCAGCCACTTCATAAGCAACAGCTTGTTTAGAAATAAATTATGTAGTTAATGTCATAAAATATTTTCATAAAATTCAAATAAACATCAAACGAAAGTTCTCAGTTTTAGACAATTCGATTTAAATGAAGTTAAAGTAAAAGTAAGCATGATAAAACGCCGAAGATACAAATTTACACTTAAAAATATTTTTTTCAAAAATGGAAGAAAAAGAAATTAAAAAAAAAAAAAAATAGTTAAAAATTTGAATAATATCATCTATAATTTTAAAAAAATAGCTTTTCATATAGTATTAATAAATATTTATTACTCATCATTGAGGGAAGAAATTTCGTATAATTAATTCTCCGTAAAATTTTATTTGAAATTTAAGGTTAAAAATAGCTGGCAATTGACTGTAACAAAAATTCGTAAACCACATTTGGCGTTATTATCGCTCAAAAAAAAGATGCCAAATTTCAAAACGCGAAAATATGTAAATTCGTGTATATCTCAGAAAATTTTGAATTAAAAAGTCTAATTTCTTGCAGGTATGCTTAGAAATACACATACTTTAAGATGATGGTAAAAATTTTATAGGTTATAATTCAATTTTTTTTTTCCAAAAATTTATAAAAATTATTTAAAAATAGAAATTTAAAAAATAAAACACAAAAATGGGTAAATTTTATTTGGAAAGAACCTTTTCGAAATGTGAAAGGAAAAATCAAAAAAGTTTAATAAAAAAAGAGATATTAATAAATATTTGCTAAATTCAATTAACATTGAGGAGCTAAAATTTTGATAGCTAATATTTTAAAAACTACTCGGCGATTTTTACAAAACTTGGCATTCTGGCATAATTTGAGTCGTAGAATCGAAATATGGAAAAAAATTGGTATGTTATTTCAGAAAAAGTCCGATTTCGTGTCAGAATAACTATGTTAGAGTAGAGCTATATATAAATCTAATATATATCCTAAGTCGCGCGTTCGAGACATGAAGAACGCAATTTGAATTTCGTCAATCGGCCCAGTAGAACGGGAGATATAAACTTTTTTTTTTTTTTTTTTTTTTTTTTTTTTAGCAGTGTACATCCGTAGCCATTAAACATTCCTGTTTTCCCCCCATTAATCTTTGGATACATAAATATGTTATATTAATTTCTCAGGCCGGCTTTCGTTAATAATATTAATCTTGGAATAAATTCATGAACCTGAAAAACAAATTAGCTATATTATTAAATTTTCAGTACCATTTATATACGCTAATCACACTTCACATATATGTATGTTAAATATCGTTATTTCCTAGTCATAAATTTTGAAATTTACAAAGCCCTAAATCAAATAAAGGATTTTGAGAAATTAGTTTGAACTATCATTTATTTATTAGCATACAGTTTTGCCATTTAATTTCATCATATTTTTCAAAGTTTATAATGTTTGTAGCTTTTTATTAATTATAAAGCAATGTCCAAACTTTGTCTTGCCACGATATTCTTTTTTCATAGAAAAATATGCTTAATTTACGTGATAAATAAATTAAATATATTCTGTTTCAAAGGATAAAATTCTTGAAGCAGGTATTGAGATTATTTGTTACTTTACACTGGTTCAAAAATAAGTAAGAGTTTGAAGAAGAAAATCGTATATCCAACTGAGATTTAGAATGTATAATTAGTAAGAGACTTCAAAATTTTAATTTCTGCTCAGGCAGCTTTGCAACGTCGCCATGCGAGAAACAAAATAAAATTTTTTATCAATAAACACGTGTCTGAACTTTCAAGGTATGGCCCTCACAGGCTTCTGGCTGCAGTGTATAAAGGCCCCGAGGTGACACAAAGTTGTTCTTGCTCTTTCCTTTCGCTCTTTCTCACGCGATATTTTCCTTCCCCTTTTCCCCTTTTTAACGATCTAATCAGAGACGTGTGGTTGCTTTTCCTTTTAACTTCCTTCGAAGGCTCTTATATCATGTAGGATATATCATGTATTAGAAACTCATAGCGGTGCTCATACTTTTTCTGCTGAACCAGGAATTGCTAGCCTTCGCTTTATGTAGAGAAGCGACTGATATTACTTCGCTAAAACTATTTTTCTTTACTTTTTCTGTAAGCGGTTTCTATTAATATCACCAATACTTGCTCCTTCTGTCTAAAAAACTTACAAACTTTTCCGATTACACGCAAGTTACATTAATTTATTACTCAAAAATGCAAGCGCATTCAGGAAATTTTAAGTTTTGGTTTCGTAATATGGAAACTAACATTTTTCGTATTAAATTTAAAATAATAATAATTATTTATTACCTAATAAACTGTTCTCTTTTCTCATTCATTGATATATAAGTTAAAATACTTTTTTGACTTTGTTTTTACCAACTCTTACCTAAATATCAAATTACCAATTTAAATTTTCAAAGAAAATGATACCTTTATAAACAAAATTTTGTTAGATTCAATTCAAATTTCCTTTTAATATTTTTTTCCTCATTTTCACTATGCATTTTTACAATTTTTTTATTAAAACACTTTTTTAAATTCACGAGTTTTTTTGTTAAATGTAACAATTAAGTATTTAAGCAAAAACAAGAGTATTATTGTTTTAAAATTTTATTATGTAACATCACGGGATAATTCATGAAAGCATGATGCAACTTTGATGCTCTTTACCTGTGTATGAGGTTTATTTCTTAATTACGTTAAAAAGACGTGTATCGTTGAGTTACGAATTTGAACCAACCACTAGATACTGATTTAAAAAATAACAGTGAGGCTATGCCGAAATTAACATTGTGAATTTGAATTAGTCTATATGAATATGAGTAGTCACTATGTATATGAAATTAGGTATGAATGATTAGAAGGAAATGTTACGTGGATAACTTGCCTTATTAAATTTGGTCTGTTACTCCTATCAAACCCTTTACCCTTTTCCTACTGCCTTCAGAAAGTTATCACATCAGACTATATCTTAAATAAATCCGTTTATAATGAATAAAGCAAATTTGGACTATTTTGAATTTCAGATGGATAAAAAAACAGCCAATGCAGGTGAATCAAATATCACAAAATCCAAACTTTAGTACATTTAGAATGTCATCAGATGTTTTCAGACCTACAGGGATGGAAGCGGCTTATTCTTTGCCTTAAATTCAGCTATCATTAAACCTTAATTAAGTTACCTATTTACTCCGAGTATTTACCAATTTCTATCAACAGCTGAAAACATTTTTTCTTTTCTCCAGTCAGAGCAAACCGATTACACGACTATCAGGAAAAGAAAAATAGTCCTTCTCCCAAGTTAACTTGTTTTTTTTTTAATTGAATATTGCAAAATCCTTGAGGGTTATCCATTTAAGAGAGAAATGTATTCGCAGAGATTTTCCTTTGGTTTATTAATTCTGGCAAAGCATACTAGGGCTATCTGCCTAAGAAAAGGAATGTCTTTGGAGGACCTTTTTAGAGGAAACTTTGCTGGTATCTATGCTACACATGGAAAAAAAAAAAAAAAAAAGAAAGAAGTACGAAACGCCCATGCAGGCAGTCCGTTCGCAGGAATTCCAAATACCAGTGTTCAGCCACTTTATCGTTCAGCAGCTGATAGGCCCCTTCGAAGAGGACTTTCTAAAGGAATGATTAAAATTATTTAGATTAAGCAAAGAACGGGCTACCTGCCTCCTTAAGGGTCTTTCGAAGAACAACTGGCTCGTATTCGCGTTACTTAAGAGGAAATCCACAAAATCTTCCAAAAAAAAAAAAAAAAAGCGGTCAAGCTACAAGTATTCAGTGATTTTGCTGTATGGCCGTCGATTGGCCTTTCTAAGGAAAACAGGGAAGGGGAAATTTCTGAAAAGACGACATTGACTATGTATTCCCGATAGCTGAAGTGTTCCGCTGTAATTTAGATTAATTAGAGCTGTAATTAATTAGAGTCAAAACAAACTACCTAAACTGGAATTTTTGTTCCCATGTGCATCATACCCCACATTAGTTTTGATGAAAGTATCATATATGAGTGGAGGTATGGCAAGGAATACAGTCAATTCCCGATTAAACAGGTATGGCAAGGAATACAGTCAATTCCCGATTTACCCACCTTTAATTCAAAATCATGGTTAATCCAAGATCAGTTTAAAAGAAAGAAAAGAAAACTAAAAATAAGAAACAGGAATAGTTTCTATTATAATTAACAGAAAAATACTGTTAACATTACATTTTCAAGCAGTTCAGTCTGAAGAATAAATGCATTCTGTTACATAAATTAAATTGGTACTCAAAACAAAAAGAACACACTGTAAATTAAGTGAAAAATAAAGAACTAATATGTTATTGGAAATACGAAATACGATATAAATGACTGTGACTTCATCTGCTATCACTGTTGCCATCCTTTTTTTATGTTGATTGTCTGTGATTGCAATCCTTCCATCGTTTCCGCAATAAAAAAAAATAAATAAATTTAAAAAAAAAAACCTTGACTTTTTTAAAGATAGGGCCCATCTAATCCGTGATCCAGTTAATTCGCCTGTGGTTAATCGGTAGTTGATCGTAATATGAAACTGGATAGAAAAAATGAATAATCCTTATTCTCTGACCTTTGTGGCTTCATTTCAGGTATCAGTATGGATAATAAATAACTAAATTTACGCTATTTCAAGTGAAAAGCGAAACAATAAAGAAATTTTTTCTTCTGTAATAACTATTCTAGGTACATGTAAAATTCAGAATAACTGCATTTTGACAATAAGTGAAATTTGAAATTAATATTTTAATCCTATTCTTGGCAAGCTGGCTTTCCACATTGACTTAATACCTTCAGTACATGATAATGGAGCTTTATTTAAATGTATATGCGCGTATTGGTTTAATTTAAATCTAATAATAATTAGTACATAATAATTATTTATGCTTCAGGTGGGCGAGCATCAAACATCTTACAAGCTGCTGAAGTACAAATTATACCTCGATATGAATGCCTTCAATATTATTCATTCTTAACGAAATCAATGATATGTGCTGGCTATGTAGACGGAGGAATAGATGCCTGCCAGGTAAGGTGTTGAAATTATCTTTCTAATCGAAGTAGGAAAAACATATGGCTAGATCTGATTGACTCATTTTTTGATAGCACATACTACTACTCAAAGAACTACTGAGGAATTAATGGCCAGTATGTTGTTAATTTCTTAAAGTTTACTAGACTAATTTTATTAAATAAGACTATAATTTCATTTATTTCCTAAATATAGAAAGAACTACGTATTAAAAAATGTGTTGCAAACCTTCGATCTTAGCAATAGATCAATGAAGCTTTATTTTCAACATGCTTGTTTGAAATTAGCATTCAATTTCAGTTTCGAGGAATTATATATTTCGCGTAATAGCCTATGGCAATTTGAATAGCATCTGAAAGAAGATGATACATATTTAAATTTGTAAATGACGTCAGTTGTCTCGCCATCCCATAAATGATAAAAAGAGTTCAGGAAAACCCTCCAAATTTTTTAATACATAGCGTGATAGTTACAGACACTCAGTGAGTTTCACTCCGCATTCCAGATTACAAAAGACCACTATGAAGCATTTAGACGGCTTCACACGTAGCAGAATAATTGTAAACTCTTTGGCTGATGTGGTTTGTTGTTATCGATGTTTTTAAATGTTTCTAAAGTGAGACACTGCGTTGTCATTGAAATGCTCATGCGTTGTCATTGAAATGATCATGCTGTAGCTTGCGACTGCTTTATAAGGGTAAAATCTTTACATGAAAACTTTGCACTTTACCCTATTTTTTCATAAATTTTGCAGTTCAGAGAGCTAGGAGCAATTTTTTTCTTCCTCTTCTTCTGAATACACACTGCTGACCATTAAAATTGCAACACCATGAGGAAAAGAAAATACAAAAAAGATATTTTTCGTGCATAAGACAAAATGCTCAAATTTGTAAGCAGTCTGGGGGTTTACAGGGATGCGAAATTAGCAGAAACAGCCGCTAGCCCTGGCAGCTAAAACTGCCCTTACCCGGTTAGACATAGAACTGGGCTTGGATGACAGAAAGAGGCAACTCATTCCATGTTGCTTCAAGTCTATGCCACACTTCATCAACAGTATTAGATGGAGAGGGGTGGCGGGCCAGTCTCCCAGCAACCCATGACCAGATGTTTTCAGTAGCTGACAGATCTCGTGACTGTGTAGGCCAGGGCAGAATTCGAATACTCTGTGTATCGAGGAAGGTCAGAACACGAAGTGCAACATGTGATCTAGCATTATATCGTTGGAAGATGGCGTTTGGCGGGCCTCGAAGATAAGTTACAACCACTGCATCTAAGTTGTCAGAAATATACCGAACTGCGTTCAAATTACCGTCAATCCGAACTAGAGAGTGCGTGTCGTCTACACAATGGCTGCGAAAGCCATCACATCAGATGAAGGGCCTCTATGCCGACATCGAATGCAAGTAGGCGACGTGCGGTCTCGTCGAAGCCCCCAGATACGTTTACGACCATCAGAATTCTGCAGGTATTATCGAGACTCGTCTGAAAAGACGGCATTGTGCCACTCCTGTATCCAGCCTTGTCGTTCGAGGCGCTAGAGCCGCTGTCTCTCTTTATGCTGCATTGTCTAGGGAAATCAAAGTAATGATAGCCGTACTGATAGTCTACGCTGCTGCAAATGTCGATCTTGTGTACGAGAGGATACTGGGCGTGCTGCAAACATGCCCATTTCCTGACTAATGGTCGGTAATGTGGTTATACAGTTTTTCAGCGCTGACCTCACAATGTCTCTCCTCTAGGCATTTGTCAAGGGAGGGCTTTGAGATCCTGCATGCTGTTCAGTATGACCCTCAGCAACACATTGATTCCATGTTCGCATGACAGTCGTTGGATGTCGACCAGTACGACGAGCGATATCATGGAATGATATTCCACACTCTCGGTAGGCAACGATCTTGCCTCTATCGAATTCCGACACTTGGTGGTAAACATTTTTTCTTATTATTCGAGGCATAACATGATATTCTGAGAAAAATCCGACCTTACAAAGGGCTTTCCGAATGAGAAATCCACAACACAACTTTTCTTTAATGCAGTGCTTCAGACGTCGTTTCTACCTCCTGCGTCTTCTAAATGCGCTGAAATACTAATCATTTGCACATCCCAACCTCTTCTTCCTTTCATGTGATTTTGACGTTCTTCAGATCATTTCTTCCTTGTGTTGCTATTTTAATTGCTAGCTGTGTATTTTCTTCCAAAATAACCTTTTGTTGCGGCTTCTAGAGTTGTAGTTCTTTCATGTTGAGCTGATTTCATGATCTTCTAATGCAGTGGTTCTCTATCCTTTTCGCCCTAAGCACCCTTTTTAGCAACGCTAGAAGATCATTCCCTCTCTCTCCTTTCCAACACTTGAAAAATGCATATACATTTATATAGATTTGGATTGTTTTATTAATTAAGCAACAAAAAATATAGAAAATTTTGGTAAATACCCAAACTTTGAATAAAAGTAAATTTTTATATTCATAAACAAAACTAAAAACTTAACAATTAAGTAAAACTCTGAACGAATTTTTACCCCTGAAATTATGAAATTCCCCTCTAAGGAGAATACCCCGGTTGAGAAACTGTGCTGAAACTTCCTCATCTTCACTGTTAACTTTCCAGCCAATGGTTTCGTCTAGATATACAATATCATGGATTTAAAAAAAAAAAAAAGAAAGAAAGAAAGAAGAAGAAACCCTACGTGTCAAAATACTTCAAAGACTTTGCCCCTGTAATGAAATCTTCCCATTATTTCTTACAGGCAAATTTCATAGTCCTGTAAGTCACTTGCTGCCAGGCTTTGTTAATGAGAGTTAGCGAAGCATTGGAAGAAATGAAAAATATTAAAATGATGTTTCCAGAAGGCCCCAAGAATTAATTAGGCGCCACAGGTTAACTCAAAACACATTTGAAAATAAAATCTCCCCGATGTGAGCATTCGTAACTCGAGACACCATTCGTCATTCGCTGAGTCGTTCTTGAACCGAACTGCTCGTGAATTGAGGCATTCGTGATCCGATGTTCCACTGTATCTGTTAAAATGAGGCTAAATTTGAACGTTAGATTGAATATAAAAGTGAAAAAGCTACAAGTGTATGATCATCCGGGTTCCTATGGTTATTATATTAAAAAAATTAAAGTTCAGTGTTTCATGGCCAGACCTAAGTAATCCTAATGGTTTTGGATGTAATTTCCCATTACAATCTTTATCCATAGCGTGGTAATTTATGAATACAGTTTCCAGCTTAAGAGGAGAATTTCTGCATTAGTGCTTAGATATACTGTAGAGACATTAGGTTATTTCGAAGCTGGAGACATGAAAAATTAGCAATGCCCTCGCCGGGACTCGAACCTCAGACCTCTCGAATACACGCCGAGTGTTCTGGCTATTACACCACGAAGGCATGCTAAGAAGGCGGGAAAAATATCTTATGTTATCAGGTTCAATGTTCCTTCTAACCTTCTTCGGGAACATACAAGGACCTGACTCGGAACAGAGAGCTTACTAAAGCTATGTTCACTAATTGTGGTAAGTAGACAGGATACAGACGAAGGGTATACAAAACCCTTTATTTTTCTCTATATACAATAACTTCCGTACTTCGGAATACAATGACCCGCCACTCGGGGTCTAACGTAAAAATATAAAAATAAAACTAAACTCTAATTTAACTTTAGAATAATACACGTGGAAGATTGGCCTTATAATAACAGGAAGCGTATGTAGCACAGAGACTGTGAACACTACAATACGTTTAATTTATCAAGAGGATTAAAACCTCTGGCCTGGAAGGCAAACAGCAACTGCGTAACTTCTAAGGTAAGCGGCCTGCTTCGAACTCATTGCTTCCTCTCTTTCGCTTGGCAAAAAGGCCACGCTTAAATACTTGGCGTTCGCCAGACAAACTTTGCATAAAAAACCTTCACGCTTATAATTCTGGCCGGAAGTAGAAAATAAGAAGAGAAATAAGAAGTGATAGTAAAGATTTAAAATAAAATAAACGTTAGTAAAACTTAAGATCCTTACATACTTCCCGCCAGAGTTAATTAGTTTGAAACTGAGGTCTAAAACGACCTTGTTGAAAACTTTTAGCTCTAGAATCTAACGCGAGGCCAATCTTTTACAAACATAACTTCGCTAGAAACTAGAAATTTAAAAGAAAGAAATTTGTTACAATAGCAGCTCCCAGGAAATATACAACAATTTTTTTTTTTTTTTTTTTTTTTTTTTTTTCATCTGTACTGCATCTAAACAGGAGCTTTTATTCAAATTCTGGTTCCTTCCAGAGATCTGGAAGGAAAACTAGTTTAATGAAATGTTACACAATGACATGGCAAGTAACATATAGAATTATACTTTCTCTTAACATTCTTATTTCATTCATGACTATTTTAATTATCTCTCCCCGTGCTCTCTGACATGTGTTGTAAAAGAACACCAAACACGAATGTGTTTCTGTCTACGTGTTCCACACTTCCTCCTACAATCAAAACACTAACGTGTTAAAATTCAACATAACGAGACCTCTTAACACACCCTAATTTCAACTCTAAACCCTGAGGTACTATTCTGAAAGTGGCTAACTCTAAAGTGTAGCGTCAGAGAGCCTAACTACATCATTCAACCTTTAACACATATTCGCCACCATGATTTAGTCTTTACAGTCACACGAATAACAAATTTTTAACATTACTTTCACTTTTACCATATCACGGTATTTCTTAACATTTAAAATAACAGAACATATCAACATGCCGTTAATTTTACACATTTGAAAACATACATTAGTAGTACATTGTTAACTTCTATTCTTTTCAAAGCAAGTGCCAATTCTTTCTACATTGAAATAATACTACATTTCAAAAAGTCTTTCAGACTAAAACTTCTTTCTTGCTAGAATGTTTTAAATAAAATTTATACAATAACTTTTTACAATATTTAAGTCTTTACACAACGCTATTATACATCAACTTTAGTTTTACGCGCGAGTAATTGAAAAACATAATACCGA